ATGTGTGACACTTTTAGTCTCCTTTTCTGTAAGACACGGGTACTGGACTGAACCATCCCAAACACATCCCCCAGTGTTAACATTTTTATGATCCCATTTTTTTTTTCTTTTTCATTTGCACATGGAAAATTTGGAGGAATACCACAGTGACTTCAAATTTACCTCCTAGTTAACTGTATTTCTTAGTGCTGTTTCTGCCTTTTAGGAGCAAAGAAAATCAATTACTTTAAATTCCTTTTCCATGTGCCAGGCGTGAAATTTCCTGAGAGTCTTATCTTCTTCACCTAAACATTTTTGTACCTTTGATCATTTCTCTTACACATGAAGTTTACAGTCTCTTTACCACTTTTTCCTGTACACCCTGAATTTTGAGAATAGAACTTCAAGTAGAGTAAAGCCGCAATGCAGTAAAAAACACATAAAACATCAAATACACAAGTTAAATAGGAGATTACAAATTCCTATAATTAGAATCCTTCACTTCTATTCTAGTTGTCTGTTTTGTTGCTGTTGCATTTTTTTAAAAACTCCTTTACCACCCTCTTACAGAAAATATTTAGATATTTTGTAGTTGCTTGCCAATGAAGTCCCCAAACATTTTACTTGAATCAATTTAAAATATTATCTTGAGAAAAGGAAAAAGGTTCCATACTGCTATGGGTCAAATGTGTCCCTAAAAGGAAACTTGACCCCCATTCTAACACTGTTAAGAGGTTGGGAAATCCAATTATGGTATTTGAAAGCGGGGGCCTTTGAGAGGTGATTGCTTAGTGAGGACTGCGCCCTCCTGGATTAATTTTTTTTTTTTTTTAGTGGTGGTGGGTATGGTATGGGCATCGTAGTGGATTATGTTATGTCCCCCCAAAATTCACTGAAGCTTGAATTGTGTCCCCCCAGTTTTATGTATTAGAAACTTGGCCCCCACTGTGACTGTTAAAAGGATTGGAAATCCTATTATGGTAAATGAAAGGTGGGGCCTTGAAGAGTGATTGGATTGTAGGATCATGCCATAGTGAATGGATTAAAAATGGTCGTCAAGGGCATGGTGCCGAGGGCTTTAAAAGAAGAGAGTCTCTCTCTGCTGCTCTCTCTGCTTCCACCATCTTGCAATGTGAGACCCCTGGGTCACTGTTGCCACCACGGGCTGGACTTTGGACTTCCCAGCCTCAGAAACAGTAAGCAATAAATTCTTAATGTTTCCTAATAAACCACCCAGTTTCAAGTATTTTGTTATAAGCAACAGAAACGGACTAATACAGGCGTGGTTCTGATGGCTTTGCAGGAGAGCGAGTGAGAAGGTTATCTCTGTCTTGCTCCTGTGAATCTGGCCATATGACATTCTGTGTTGCTGTAGAGAGTCACTACCAAGAACAAAGCCCTCACCGATGTGTTCCCTGGACCTTGGCCTTCCCAGCCTCCAACACTATAAGAAATACATTTCATTTCTTTATAAGTCGCCCAGTTTCAGGTATTCTGTTATTAAGCAACAGCGGTGGACTGGTCTTCTTTAGTTATTTGATGTTGATGTGATGGGAATCCAAGAACATCAAGACACCCGACACCTGTAAATGTGCTACCATCTTTTGGGTGTCTATGAAATGTAATATTGAGCAATGATAATGTGTAATATTGGAGCAAAGGCTCCACTCCGCCTCTGATGGGAAAGTGGAAGTCTTCAACTTTCCAAAAGATTCAAGAACAGATGAGGGTGAAGGGGCACCTCTCTTCACCCAACCCCAGTACAGACAGCACCAGGATAAATCTCTCATCTGGAGGCCAGAGAGGAGGGAGGCTGGAGTAAGAAATGCCAGGTGGCCTTGTCATCATGTTTGGGAAGTGGGGACGCCAGCACCACACTGTGGGTTCCGCTGGCAGTAAAGGGGAGGGACTGACAGGCAACCACATTTGCCAGTTCCCGTTTTCAACTCCTGTACACATATTTTAATTTGATGAAATGGAAGGCCTCTACAATTTGTGAGTCATTCTCCAATTATTGGACCTTTAAGGGTTTTTTTCTCTCCCCAAATAGTTATATGACAAACATTTCTCAACAAAACAAAACAAAAAAATTTTTTTGGGCCGGCCTGGTGGCGCACTGGATAGTGCGCAGCTTGGGAAGCGCGGCAGCGCTCCCACCCGAGGGTTCGGATCCCACATACAGACCGGTTCCCGCTCACTGGCTGAGCGAGGCGCGGGAGCAACACCAAGGGTTGCGATCCCGTTGCCGGTCCCTGGTCCGGTACGGGGGCAACACTGAGGGTTGCGATCCGTTGCCGGACAAAAAAAAAAAAAAAAAAAAAAAAAAAAAAAAAAAAAATTTTTTTACAGGCTTTACTTCCATTTTGGGTTATTTTTATAGTCTGATCGCTGAGAAGACATATTAACACATATTGCTGCATGGTTTCCCAGAAGCACTATCTGCAAAATCAGGGTTTTTAACAGTTTTTTATTATTGGTCTAATTACTTAATAGTAAATAAAAGAAATCTCATTTTTATTTTCCTATTTCTCAATAACTGGTCATACTACATTTTATTTCTCAGATCTATTCAGTCGTGTTTTTTCGTGTGAACTGACAAGTGCCCCATGTGTGTGGGGGGTGCATCTTTCCATTGTACTCTTCCTTACCAAATTTGATGAATCCTCTGTATATTTGGGGCTAAAATTTTCCTGGTTTGGCTGTTTGCCTTTGAATCCTTCTTGATTTTTTTTTCACGCACAAGATTAGTCCAACATGACTTTTGTTTTTTGTTTTTTACTTGTCTCTCCACAGCAATCCTAGTTTATCCAGTTAATCCGCTTGAAGCCTTCTGTATTAGTCTGTTTCTGTTGCTTATAACAAAATATATGGAAATGGGTACTTTGTAAGAAAATGATATTTTTTACTTACAGTTTCTGAGGGTGGGGCGTCCAAAGTCCAGGGAACACGTCTGGTGTGGTGACAGTGACCCCTCACATTGCAAGATGGTGGAAGCAGAAAGCAGACAGAGACCAACCTCCTCATTCACTCCCTTTTAAAGCCTTCAGAAACACACCCATGACCACCAATATTCACTCATCCATTAGGCATGGTCCCAATCTAATCACCTCTTCAAGAGTCCACCTTTCAATTACCATAATAGGATTTCCCACCCTCTTAACAGTCACAGTGGGGGCTAAGATTCTAATACATGAAACTTGGGGGACACAATTCAAGCTTCAGTGAATTTGGGGGGTGGGCATAACCTTTACTAACCTCCTCTAACCTTTACTACCTTCTACCCTTTACTACATATAACTAACCTGAGTTTGCTAGTCTCACTTCTTATTGCCTTCCTAGTGCATTTCCAAGTCTACACCAGATTTTTTTTTAAAAACCCTCCAAAACAAAACTACCTCTGAGTACCTTGCACTTGCATGAAATAACAGATTCATGTTCTAAAATTTAAAAGTTACTTAGGGTCAAGTTACGTATTTTTTTAAACCACGCGCTTACTAATTTTCAAAATGAAAAAAATAGATTACTCCTCCCCCAAAGGATTTTTTCTTCTGTTTGTTTTATTCAAAAACAGTGTAACAACATAATAAACTGGGTCGGAAGGTATTCATTTATAATTTTAGTACTTAAAGAGTTTCATTTTAGTTTTTCCATGTATGTTTGTATTTTTTATAGGTACACTCTATTTAAATTTTTTTGGTATCTTGATTTTGTTTAGCTAACATTGTGAAACATTTTCCCAAGTGGCTTACAAATGCTTATCTGACGTCCTCCGCTGCTCGATGAAAGGGAGCTTCCTCCCCTCCACAGTCCCCCGCACCCGTGTACAGCGCAGGGCGGACAGCGGACACCACGGCCGGCCCCAGGGGCCAGAGGAGAGGCCGCGCGGGGAGGTCCACGCGAGACCTGTCCACGCAGGGAGGGTCCGCCCTGGGAAGATCGAGCAGGATGGTGCGTGTGGAGGATGTCCACGCGGGGCTGTGCATGCGGGACGCGTGCACACAGGACGGATGAGCGCGAGGACGCCCCACGTGGGACACTCCCACGAGGGCCAGTGCGTGAAGGAAGGTGCACGGGAGGACATCAGCACGCGAGGGCCACCCACACTCGGAGGACCCGCCCAGGGCAGGCACGCCCACGAAGGGCGGGGCCCGCGGGAGGGCCCACGCAGCCGCTCTCCGGACCCTCCCCGTCAACGTGGGCGGGGTCATTCTCTGCCCAGGTCCTAGCAGCTTACAAAATGCCTTTAAAAGTGGACTCTCCAGATAACAATAAAACTTTGTTTCCCTCTGGGTGATGACTCATTTGAACGGGAAGTGACAGCTCTCGTAAGATTTGAAGGGACGACGTCGGCCGGTCCACGGGCATGACAGTGCCGCGCACCGCTGCCAGGACCCTGCGTGGAGCGCCCCGCCGCCAGGACCCCGCCCCGCGCGCGCGTCCCTGGCGCTGACGTCGTCGTCGTCCCCGGCTCCCTGTCCGCTCTGCTCTCCGGCCTGCTCTCCGGCCGCTCTCCGGCCTGCCCGCGCCCTCTCCCGCCGCGCCCTCGCCCGCCCCCCCCCCCG